TCTAAAAATGATTCCTGTATTACGTATACAATTAACTTATTCTTTGTATTAAAAATAGTAAATTTTTTTTACACAAACATGTTTATAACTTTGTTTACATATTTTATTAAATTTTTTTAATGTGAAAAATGTAAATATATATTATATTATATATATATATTAAAAAAATCTATCCTGCTACGCAAATATATATCTGACTATTAATAATTTAATACTCTGCTACGCATAATTATATCTGACTATTTAAAAATTATGGTATCAAATAAGCAATAATAAATCTCACATAGGACAAATTTTTATATGTTGGTTAAGCAAACTCAAAACCTACCTTTATATATATTGTTCGGGGTCCTGCCGAAACCATGCTGAAATGCTGAAACTGTTTTGGCATTTCGGCAGTTTCAGCAGTTTCGGCATTTCAGCATTTTTAGTTGCTTGCCAAAATCTAGTTTCGGCAGCTTCGATAGTTTTGGCATGCCGAAACTCCCTAGTTTTGGCGAGCAACCTTACAGTCCCGTCACTGTAAAATTAAATGATTTTGCTAATCCTGGTACAAAATTTAAAAATGTTACCGACTTAATCCAAAATTTTTTAAATTCTAAACAAGTCATAATAGCAGAAAATATGAATAACATCAGGAGTTGTATTTTTTATAGAGTCTATGTAATATCTATAATTTTATATATATCCAATGTAAATTTATTATATAAATTTTTATAAATCTGTGATATATATGAGCAATTTATTTATTTTTTATATAATTGTAGAAATATTGTAAGGATTTTATATAAAATTAGCATAGATACAGAATCATTTAAATATAAATTTACATATAAATTAAAGTTAAATAAATTTTATATAAATATTTCATATAAAATTGCGATGCATGAATATAGAATTATTTAAATATAGATCTATATATAATTTATGATTAAATAAGTGTTATGCAAATATTTTATGTGTACAATATATAAAAAAATTTTATTAATATATCTATATTTCTTTAACAGTTAAACGTACTTATGTAATATGAATTAATTTTATCAAATTGTAGTACAACAAGGAGTCAACATTAATTGATTCAAATTATACAAATTAACATCATTTCATATATGGACAGCCTAATATAAAATGTTAAGTATTTAAAAATACATGTACGAGCAACAATTTAACAATTATAATTAATTTTGTTAATTAATTTTTGTAATAGAAGTTTACTATTTTTACTTTGCAAATCATATGTTACAAACTCCTTTAATTAACTTTCATCAATTTTGATTTATATATCGTTAAACATTAATTGGTAAATTATTATAAAATAATATAAATTTGCCCATGTCAACTAATACAAAAATATTAAATACGCATAAATTTATAACTGAAGACTGTATGTATAGAATTATACTATTAAACTAAAAATAATTTCGTTACATGATTACATAATTTGTACAACCTAAATTTTTTTAAGCTAATCTTGAAACTTTTAAACTTTTATCACTATTTTTTTTTCTTTTTTCGTTCTTTTATAAACTCTTTCTAAAATATTTTTCAATTATCTTTCTTATTATTATCATTTATTTTTCTCTTCTTTTTCATCTTCATGTTTATGAAATCTTTTAATCATCAATAGCTTTTGCACCTTTTTCCACTTCCAATATTTATTAACGTAAAATTATTGAAAGGCGAACTAGTATCATGTGCATCATGTGATATAATATATTTACTCACAGTTAATAATAAAAGTAACTTTTTTTTTAACAAAGTCTCCACTTTTCTTCTTTTGTCATTATCTTTCCCTTTCTTGTTCATTCCCCTTTTCTTTCTCTCATCTTTCCTTTCCTTTCTCCCATTTTTCTCCATTACCTTTTCCTTTGTTCTATCTCCTTCCCCATACTTTTCATTAAAAATATTTTAACAAACATCCTCAAATGTTTCAAATTTTTTTTTTTTTTGGATGGTTCTTACAGTCTTCCGAACATGATATTTCCATGAGTTTTCATTTTTTTTTTATTTATTTTTATTTAACAAACAACTCTAAATAGCTCTTTTGTCTTTTCTTTAAGTGGCCAGAATTTTAGGCCTATGAATGTGCAGAATTTCATTTAAAGTTCCTTTAAACTTTTAATTTTTTTAATGAAACATATACAATGAATGTTCTATATTTCTTTCTTTCTTTTAAACAGTTATCTTTTTGATTTTTTGGGCGTGTAGTAATTTGCAAGACCTCAGTGGGATTTTCTTTTATTTCTTTTTTAGATAGTCAGTCTTTAGACGTATGGGAAATTGGTATTTATTTTTCTTTAATTTGTTTATTTAGCAAACTGTACTCACAGTTCTTATCTGACTCCTTCTGGTTCTTTTGGATATTTTTGGACGTGTAGGTTTTCAGATTTCACTTTATTCTTTACTAATCTATGTATTCAGTTTTTAGCAAACAATTATAACAGTTCTTTTTTTTTTAGGTGACTAGTATAAAGTGCAGAATTCTTGGGCAAGTTTTCATTTTAAAAACATTACTTTTTTAGAAAAAGTCATTTTACTAACTTCCTTCTTTTTACCTTATAGAAAACTGCTCCAATTCTATTACTGGAATCTTGAAGTAAGTTTCGAAATATCTTTGGAAACCTCCTTTAAAAATGATTTAAAAACATTTTCTTTTCTTTTTCGTAGGTCTTTTCCTGATTTCAGAATCCTAGATGAGGTAAGCTTTAAATCACTTTTTTAACAAAAATGCAAACGTCTTTTTAAAATCTATTAAGTATATTTCATAATATTTTAAGAACTTTTGACTTTTTTTTCATTTTTGTAGAAATTTGACATCAATTTTTGAAATAGTTGCAGATTTTGGTGAGTTTACAAAAAATAAGACATAAATCTGTCTTAGGATGAATAAATGTGTAAGTTTCGAAACTTTAATTAATTAAAAAAAGAAAATTTTAAAATTTCAAAGTTAAAAGAACAGTTTTTGAACTGCTTCTTTATTATTTTGTAGATTTCACGCTTTAAAGGAGTGAATATAGTTATGTGAAAAGTGAGTTTCAAAATTTACTCAATTTGAAACTTATTTCTTTTATTTAAAAAATGGTTTATAAGTGTTTTTCATTTTTTTTGTAGGATCAGCTTCGGACAGAATGCTTTGTCAACATGGACAGTAAGTTATAAATCATAACTGATTCTATTGGTTGAAGACTTTGCGTTTAACATAATGTATTGGTTTAAATACTTCACAATTTGATAGTTCTTAATTTTAGTTAATAACTAGAGAAATTTATAATTTATTTGTACAATATTAAAAAATAAACAATAATAAATTCGTAATTTACAATTTATAATATTAAATATAATATCTATTTAAAATATACATAAAATTTATTTGAAGTTAAATAAAAAATTTATATAAATTCCATATAAATCTATTTTATATGTAAAAACAGATCCATGTGAAATCCACGTTGGGTCCTTAAAACTACATAGAATAGTGTATGCAGATTTTACATATATTTTTCACATAAATCTACATAGAATATAACTCCTGATGAATATATCCACTACTTTTAATTCCCTTTCCGCTTCTTATCCAAAATCTTGTTGTACAGAAAGAGCTATTTTGAAAACTACTCTCATTCCTTTTTAAAATGGTCAGAGTATTTCTTATTTTGATCAATCTTACATAAATTCTCCTGATTTCTTTAATGACTACGATTCAAGTTCCTAGTAAAACTTTATCCGATTTAGTAAGGCAAACTGGTGCTACAAGTCCTATTAGTCCAAAATTACAGGCCATTATGGAATGTATGGAATATTTAGGGTATGTAAATCTAAAAAAATGCATGAGAAAAGACCGTTATTTCAAAAATTATGCATTACTAATTTTAGTTTTTTTTTTATAATAATAATAATAATATATTAAACCTAGATATGAAACAAAGAAAAATTTGACACCATATCATCCGAAATTGGTTTATCTGCTGAGCGGGAAGTCTTAATTTTATTACACATGTACAACGCTTTTAACAATAAAATGAATTCTTTGTTATTGTTCTTAATTTGTTCATTGTAAATTTAAATGAATGTTTTGTATATTATCTCTATTAATAAATATATATATATACTGTAAGTTATATACATCAATAGAGTAAAAACTCTTTCTGCCGATCATTCAGTCACAAATTTCGCACTAGTAGTTTAAAGAAATATTTTTCGTTTATTATCGTTTAAGTCATAGAAAATATTGTTTTTTCGTTATAGAATTTGGGAAGAGTAATATGGAAGGGGTAGAATTTACCCAACCTTCAGGAAGTAGCACTTCGGCTGCTTTGACGAGCTCTTTGTTAGCTCAGTAACCTATACAGACGAATAGTAATATCAACATAGGGCTGGATGCCTCTATGCATGCTCAATAAGGTTGCTTGGCTAAACTCATTTTAACTTTTGACAAAAGTCTAAACTTTAATTAGTAATAGTTTAAACTATGACAAAAGGTTTTGACAATAACTAAATATTTAAACTATGTCTAAACTTTCTAATTAATAAAATTTAAAATAAATAATTATTAATACATTATTATATATATTTAAATAAATTTTTTATAAATAAATATTACTATATAATTATTAATAAATATAGTTAGACTTCTATATAGTAACATTTCATATAGTTACATTATATAAAATTTCTCCTTATAATTACACCTTTGGGAAAACCCAATTTATATACTTATTATATAAAAAAACCTTTATATAATTACATTATAGTAAAAGCCTCTATATAGTTACTAATTTTTATAGAACCGATTAAATAACTATATAGAGATCTGACTGTATTAATAATAATATATAAAAAGTAAAATTATAAAACTGGTTAAGTGAGTGACACATATTACATCATATTCATTTTACTATGAATTCTACCCCCCTCCTCCCCTTGTCAGATTTAATAACCAATTAAATTTAATTTACAATTTATATAAATAGAATAAGTGTAACGTCAGATTTTAATTATCCCCCTCCCCCTCTAATAATTACGTCATATGTGTCACTTAAGGTTGCTTGCCGAAACCTAGGGGTTTAGGCAAGATGGCGTTTCGCCGAAAAGCGAAATTCTGCCAAAACTATATTAAAGTTATATTAAAAAACTGGCGAAACTTTGGAGAAAGGCGAAACTGCCGAAACTTATTATAAATGCCGAAACTGCTGAAACTCTGCCGAAACTATAATAAATCTATAGTAAAATTTTGACGAAACTAATCGTAGGATTTTGAAGAGGTTTAGACAAGCAACCTTAGTGTCACTTCCCTTATTAATTAAACTCTATATATTTTAATATATATAATGATTTAAATAATTAATATAATGTATATTAAATTTTATAATTGCAAAACTGGTTAAATTTATATTAAATTATATAATTTATTATAATAAATGGTAAACTTTATTAATTACTATGTAAAAATATGTCTAAACCTTTTACAGTTTTATCAGTTTCGTCAGTTTCACAGTTTTGCAAATTTTTAATTTTTTAATAAAATGTTTCAACTAGTTTCGATTTCAACAATTGTTTAAACTACTTAGTTTCGTCCAGCAACCTTAATGCTCAAACTAACGCAAGTCACCCTAGTCAGAATACAACTTCTAAAGAAGCAAAGAAAGATGATGGTTGGACTATTATTAAGAAGACTCAACGTTTTAGTATTTCATCCCTCAAGATAATCTTCCAGGCAATAATATTATTGCTAAGAAAAATTTTGTATATAGTATACTTTTCGTCAAAATGACAAAATACTAATTAAATTTATTTTGACAGACGTAATGTATTTTGACAGACGTAATTAATTCATAGTAATTTTATNAAATATATTTAACAAGCAATAGATACATGGCCGTTGAAAAATATATTTACACTTCATATTGTAATACCACAGTTTAACAAAGAAAGACAAGAAATTGCAAATATATTTAACAAGCAATAGATACATGGCCGTTGAAAAATATATTTACACTTCATATTGTAATACCACAGTCTAACAAAGAAAGACAAGAAATTGCAAATATATTTAACAAGCAATAGATACATGGCCGTTGAAAAATATATTCACACTTATACCACAAAAAAAGACTCAAACCACAACATATTGTAAAGAAAAATATGAAAAATACGTGTATATCCTATTTTCATACCTTGCTTAATAGCTCTACTATTATTTAAAAGCAGCTTTTCTCTTTTTTGTATGTGGGTAGTTGCGTACATTTTTTCTTTTCTTTTATTCTCTTCTTTCGTATGTGAGTGGTAGGTACATTTCGTGAATAGATATGTCTTACTATGTTGAATATATAAACTAAAGTAGTAAAGTATTGTTAATATTGTAAAAGATAATTAAAGTATACTTAAATAAAAGAGAAAAGAAGTGACAAACAAAAATACTGTAAAGAAAAGTATAGTATTTTTAATAAGAAAGAAAAGTGTATCTTTGAAAATAAACAAAAAAAATCACGCATTAGTAAACACAAAATTTATCTATTTTTAGATATCATATGCATATAATCAAAATGATCTTAATTGGTTTATATTATTACATTATGCATAAAGATCAATGTGATTTTATTGGTTAATTTTAACCTTACAATAAAACTAAAAAATATTTAACTGATCATTACACATACACATATTTTTATTTATCAATTTATTTGAAACATGTTAATAATATCTAAATAAAAAATTCTATAAATAAAAAATATAGAATTAATATTTTTGTTATAGCAATAATTGTAATTATATATTTTTGCTATTCATCAATTGTAAAACAAAGCAATTATATTTAAGAGGTATTTTTCTTTAAAAAAAATGTAATATTTTAAGTCATATTCCTTAATTATATTGCAATTATACCTATATTAGTATATCGGTATATGAATATCAGTATATTAAATATCGCTATGTCAACTGAAGACAATACGAATTTCATGTGTAGTTAATTTTATAAGTTTGTTAACAATCATTTGTCTAATTGTTCGATACTATTCTAAAATGGCGTAAATTAAAATCGAATTAAGTTCCAGTATAATGATATATTTGACCAGTTATATCAAATGAAAGAATTCATATATGCTGCATGTGATGGGATGTACATGTTGACTAATTAGACTAACTAATTTTAGTTTCAGGTTTAAACTATTAAGAAATGTTTCAGTCAACTATGTTTCACGCTTTTTATCGTTTGTATAATTTATTGTAAAATACGTATTCAATCCAGAATTAATCTATAAATTAAATTTTCTATTTAACAATTAAAATAATGCAAAAGTAATAATAAAAAAAGCAATGAAGTGAAATTTCAATTCTTTATCTAAAATATGAATAAATTTAATTATTTGCCAATCAACCCTTCTATAATTCTTTAATATTCTTTAATAAGTACAGCTAAATTAAATGAATCATAATTTTAATAATAAAAATTTAGAATAAAAAAAAAAAATAAATAAATAAAAATTAAATTAAAAAAGTTTATAAAATAATAAAATATAATGATTAAGTTGCATGGGAGNTCAAAATGACAAAATACTAATTAAATTTATTTTGACAGACGTAATGTATTTTGACAGACGTAATTAATTCATAGTAATTTTATAATAAATAGTGAATTGGTCCGTTCGCCGAAATACGACGTAATTAATTAGTGGAGAAGTATAGTATATAGGAAAATTTCGGATGTGCTTGGGCTAATTTCATTGGCACCAACTTCCATTAAAGGTATTAAGGTGATTCGAGTAACATATGAAACGGAAGCACAAGCGGCTGAAGTTTGTGCCAAGAAAATTGCAGATAGGAATGTTAAAGGTTCCAGATTCATAAACTTAAACCAAAAGTTCCAAACCTGGTTTGAAGGAAACTCAGTTCCATTTTTGGAACTATATGTAAACTAAGTTCGTAATTAGTTCAACCAATTATAAATGCAGATTTACATATAAAAATAGATTATATAAATATATTATATGATAATCAAGTGATAATTGATAATCAGTCATCTGATTATTTAAAAGTTGATCTAACGCGTTTAAAAAAAATTTTACGTGTTATTATGACTATTAAAGATGGAGTTAACCATAGCAAAAACCAGCCAGTTATAACAATTAAGAGCTGAGATACTAGGCGAACTTAATAAAGATGAGAATAATTTATATAGTGAAGAGGAAGAAGAAAATATTAATGAAGACGAAAACTTAAATAACAAAAAGAGTTCTGCTTGGAACTATTTTAAATTACAAATTTCTGGGAAAAAAATATGTAAAAATTGTTCTTAAGAATATGGTGAAAAAACGGGAATATCAACTTTAAAGAAACACCTTTATTATAAACATAATATTATTATAGATAAAATTAAAAATATTCAAACAACTTTGAATTTTCCTAGAGTTGATCCATGGTTAATTACCGAACAGCAGGTGTGAAATATAGCTTTTGTAGATTGGATAATCTCCGACCTACAACCATTTAAAATTGTTGAAAATCTCCATTTTGTTTATATGTTTAAAATATTTGATCCAAGATATCAAGTTCCTAACTGACAGAATTTAAAGGAAATGGTTGTAAATAAATTTAATACAATCAGAAAAAATATTGGTGCATTTATGGCTCAAATTCCAGGAAAAATCGCGCTTACAGCTGACATGTGGAAGAGTAAATTTACAAATGATGCATTTCTTGGCCTCACCATCCATTATATTGATCAGAAATGGAAGTTGCAGAATTTCCTATTAGATATCATATCTTTTACTAAATGGCATACTGGAATCAATATTGCAACATCAATTAATAATGTTTTAAATGATTTTAATCTTCAAGAAAAAACTTTGGCTCTTATTACAACTGATATATAATGAATTGGCTATGATTGTGTGTGAAAGAACGCTTGAACAACAATTGATTACTCAACTTGATTCTCAAAATTTTAGACATTACCGTTGTGCCGCCCATATTCTTAATCTTGCTGCACAACAAGGACTTGAAATGATATCAGATGAAGTTATTAAAGTACAAGAATTAATTAATAAAATTAAGTATTCAATAGTAATTAGCGATCAGTTAAAAAATTTGTGTTCATACACAAAAATTACATATTTGAGACCAGAATTTGATTGTAAGATGAGATGGAATTCAACTTTTAACATGTTAAGAAAATTGGAAAAAATGTGGCGTGGAATGCAATTATTGGCAGTTGAAAATAAGGAAATTCAAAATTTAATGCCTACCAATAATAAATGGAAAATAATTAAAGTCAGTATTGAATAATTGAATGAATATTAGTATTAATTTATATTCATTATAATTAATACAATTTCTTTGATTTTTTATATCATAGGATACACTTACTGTTTTGGAACCTTTGGAAAAAGCTACAGTCTATCTTTCTGCTGCTAGATATCCGACAATTGCAGATGTTCAGTTTGTTTTTTTAGGAATTTTGGATTATTTGAATGATTTGATTGGATCAGAAGAATTTAGTCAAAATGAATTAGCATCATTTATAAATCAAAAGATTGATAACTATTGGAAATATATTGATGAATAAACTTTAGTAGCTGCAATTTTAGATCCTCGGACAAAACTTACTTTATTTGAATCAGGAATACCAACCGCTAACGCAATATCCACTGTTACAGCTTTATTACGTAGTTATCATATTGTGACAAGTGAAAATTGCAAAAAAACCTAAGATGAAAATGATTATAGTAGTACACGGGAATATTTTGCACGAAAACAGCATCATTTATCTGAAAGTGATTCACGCTGATCATCTATTTCTTCTATTGCAAGTTCTATATCATTAGAAGAAACTTTTCCTGAATTAGACTGATATTTAGCTTTACTTTGTAATGAAAAAGCAGATCCGTTATTGTGGTGGCAGGTACATCAACAAGAATTTTCAAAATTATCATTAATGGCAAGAGACTACCTTTGTATTCAAGCAACTAGCGTTGCATGTGAGCAACTTTTTTCTGTTGCAGCCAATACTATTACTAAAACCCAAAATAGACTTGATCCAGAAACAGTCAGGGCTACTTTGTGCACTAAATCCTGATTGGAAAAAGAAGGTATAAGTAAAAATCATTAATACTAGTATCTGTAAATATAATTACTTACACAATTTACGTATTTGAATATTATATGTACAGTATAAATACAACAATAAAGATAATTTTTAGTGAAAATTTAAGTGTATAAGGGTACGGTTAGTGGTGGAGCTGTGGTTTTTTTATAAAAATTTTTTAAAATTAAACTAAACTTAGAGGTTAATCAATTAAACGATTAAAAATAAATTTACATGTACTCCACATAGTGTTTAATATTTTAAATATTTAACAACTTGCCGTAAAAATTGGAAGAAAAAAAAAATACATATGTACTACGTATAATATCATAAATCCCTCCATTATTTGTTGAATATCACATGATATTTGAATTGCAATCGCTAATTAAATCGATTTTTATATTTAAATAAAGAGTTCGAACCTTATTTGAACCCCAGTTCTGAACAAGTTCAAACCCTATTATAAAAACTCAGTTTCCGAGTTCTACCTATTAAAACTTTAAGGAACTGAACCTAAACCAAACCTAAACGGACTTTAACATCCCTAATTGCAGATGATAATGATATAAGATTTGCTAAATTGGAAGTAATCAACAATCAGCAACATAATAATCTTAACGATTATGAAATTAAAATCTGGGATGTTCAGATAAGCAGATGTTAGAAGTATATTTGAAAAGTTTTGGACCAATTAAAACCCTCAAATTTAATGTTAAAAATTTATACTATAAAGTAGTAGTTAGATTCAACGGTAAACAAGTGGAAGAAAAATTTAAAGACTTATGGTCATTGAGATTTTGCAAATATGTGTTTAGGATTTTTCCATCTAACTTAACCAAAGACGAAAGGAATTTACGTTTTAAATATGGGTTGAAATTAGCTAATTTACCCATAAGTACATACGCTGCAAATTTGAAAGATATTATCATACAAATGAAGGCGAAATCATGTTTTGTACCTAAGAATAGGTTTTCAAAAAATTATGAGAAAAAAAGGTTTGCATTTGT